CGCACCCCGTGTGTTTTATTCATATAAAACGCACGTGCGTTTTGTTCGGGGGAAGACTGTAGCAGTGGTAACTACCAGTGATACTACCAGTGGTACTACCAGTGGCACTACCAGTGGTACTACCAGTGGCACTACCAGTGGTACTACCAGTGGTACTACCAGTGGCACTACCAGTGGTACTACCAGTGGTCAATAACGGCGGTAACATCCATATATGACTCAGGTTACCTGGTTATTAGTAGGAGGTCATGACTGAGGTTCCCACACCGAAAACATACAGAGGGAAAAAGAACGTTGAGCAAAACAATGTGAACATCAGTGCGCAAGCTGTACTTCATTCTCCAAAATAATATGGGCTGTTGATGTACGAGTCATCTGATCAACAGCCAGGCAGGACAGCATCCATATTCACTGGCAACGAGACACTCTTCCAGCCAACCCAAAACTTCCCACAGATGCTATTCCCAACTAAAACCACCGATGTTCCATTTACAACAACAATATGAGATAGAATGACAACGCAAAATTTGCAAATAAAGAAAAGCAGACTAGCTACAAGGATGAAAGGCCCACATGATGAAAGGGATTGCAAAGATAATATATGGGATGCAATGTGACTATTCTGAGTCTATTCATTAATTGCTCGTGGCAGGCTGAGAGACAGTCGGAAGAAAAAGCAAAATTCAGGTACTCTTGTTCACGGGACCCTCAGTGCACGAGGTCTGCTCAAACTGACCTGTTGACCCTCTGCTCCACAAGTACAGCCACCTTAGGAGAGAGAGCAGCCGACGGCAAGTTCTGCAGCCAGACAGAAAATAGATATGGCAATGCCAAGCCGTGTCAATACGAATCACACTCTAAAACCCTGACACATATTCATTCAGGCAGATACAAGTCAAACGTTAGCTCGTTCTTTTCACAGTGGTAGCACAATCAAATTGCATCCAGCAATCGGACAGCCAGGTTGGACCAGTCAAGACCCTGAAGTGATCGGCAAGTCGAGATCGCTTCCCGCCTCTTGTCTAATTTCACCCTGAATCCGGGTTATGTTTTTCAAAAAGTGCAACGCTGCCACAACAGCCTTTTGATATCATTGCGGAACTGACCGGCCATGGGTAATTCAAGAATTGTATTCATTCACGTAGTTCAATCTGTATTCGAGCTACAGTTTGAATTTCGTTAGTAATTTTGACTCAGCTATTTCAGCCACAAGTTCCTAATGCAACTGTATGCAAAATTTAACCACCAAAACAAGAGGGGCATCAAATCAAAGTGTGTCCACGGTCGCCGAAAACCGCACATGGAGCTTTCCACATCAGAGATTTGCACACGCAACTTTCCGCATCAGAGATTCGCCGTCCACATCAGTCACCACTGAAAAACACCCTCACCATTGACCTAACCATGAGCAGCTTTGTAACACCAATACAAGTGTGCTATTACTCAGGGTTATGAAGTGTGCTATTACTCAGGGTTATGAAGTTAAAGGAACCAGAAGAGCAGGATTTAGGTCCTTTGCCTATGGAAAGGCAAGAAGATACGTATCATTACACCTACAGGAGGATAAGAGTTATTGGCACAACCCAGAGGGATTCTTTCGAGAAAGAAGAGTGCTGGAGATAAGGACTTTGTTATCTCACGCATGACAGACCCAAGAATGTGACCTGTTATTTCATCCACACGAGACCGAGAAGACCTGGTATCTAACTTTTGTTACTTTTTCCATTTCATGCACAACAGAGTCGAACAGACCAATAATCATCAGCCAAAAGTTGAACGACGGAAATGTTTGACAGCATAATCAGCAGCAAAAGGCACAAAACTAGCCTCGTTTCAAATCTTATGGCCTGCATCCCTAAAGCTTAAACCCATAACTAGGAACGTGATACAGCCCTTAAACCACCGGCACACGGCCATACATCAGCAGCTGTGGCCCCTCACCGCGAGTTCTGGGGGGCCGAAACATGATGCCAGCCATTGACAAATTTTATGGACGGTGCGCCGGGCCCGACTTTTTTCGGACTACGATACAAACACTTTCTTCACAAGGCTGGGGCCATGTACTGCTGGTTTAAGGGCTGTTAGGACAGTTATGATCGGAAAAGCACTTAAACAGACATTGGCGTAGTTGCCCTATATTTACATAGGTTATTCTGGTTGTTCCAGATGTTTTTAATCCAGATGTTTTTAAAAGGGCCTTTACCCGATATAGGCCTCAGGC